GCCCGCCCATCCCTGCCGCGCCGGAACGACAATTGTCGGCGACGTCGCGTCGTCGGCGAGGAAGGAGGGGTTAACCTGATGGCTCGCGATCTCTCTTCGAAAAGGCGTAATCGTAATTACGCGGTTCTCGCGGCAACGTTCCGCTGCTAATCGCGTGCTTTTCAGAAATGTTTCTCGCGCAGCTTGGTAAAGAAACCAATTGTTGAATGCTGAAAAAAGAGAGCCACATAATTTAATTCACTCTTTATTCGTGAACTTATTTTTTTCCTCCGTTAATATTTGCATTCTTATACGGAGAATATATGATAATGTTCGCAATATGTTAATCCAGAGCAACATCTTAATCTGAGACTGCACTTAAAAACTGACAGTTAACTTAAATATAAAAATGTAATATATAATATAAAAGAACACAGTTACATTAAAACATATTGAGCAAGAGAATTTATAGTTTCAAACTTACGCTCTCTTTTTCTGCAAAAGCGACTTTATGTCTTTTCGCCAGTTTAGCGATGTCATAAATTCGACACATTATTTATCGACAAGAAAAATGTTGAAAGAGCGCATGTAATGATACCCTTATGCTTATAAAATACCTGAAATATTGAAGTCACAGACAGCCAGGAGTTCCCGAGTCTACGGTTGATGACGCTAATGAAGCACTTTAGACTCCGCGAATTACGTCGGACACGCACAGATATTCCACCGAGATACTCTTTGCGACCTCGCGGAGCTTAAAAGCTACCGTAAGTTCGGCGTCGCACCGGCCGCCGCGCGCCGCCGCCGAAAAGCTCCCCGTCGTTGCTTATTTAAATTTTCATGGCCCTAACTGCAGTAAAAATACTTCCTTACCAGCGGTTTAACTCTTGAAGATATGTACCCGACACTCCCCCTGGATCGATACCGCCCCAGGTACATATTTATGAGCGTAATGCTGAATTATTGCGAGATTCCTTGAGAACTCAGTTACGAAGCTCTAAAGTCTGCGCGGCGCGGCGATGACTAAAATAGTTAAAGCCGCGGCTTAAAGAAGAAGCGGAGAGAAGAAAAACTCTGCGCCACGATATAACCACTAATTAATAATAAATTAGATTTTAGAATAAAAGTATGACTGTTAAAATGTCTCGCATCATAGTTTTAATACATTAATGTGCTTTCCAAATCGGAATAAAATAAGCAGGGATGTTTGAATTTATCTAAATTTTAAATTAGCGTAAATCTTTTGCTCACAGCGATAAAATTCTTTATAAAATTATAATGAATTTCGATACACACACATTAGATATCGTATACGGTTATGTGATCTATGTGACAGTATTATCGTGTGCAAAATAATTAAATATAGAAATGACATCGACTGCGCTTTTCCTGACAGCACTTTTCTAAACAAAGCTTCACTTTTTTCTATCTGCTTCAAATCGACTGGGTCTTTATCGAAGAAGATCGTCGTATTAGGAGGTTCCTTGGTACAAGTCTAACGAACCCCTCGGAAGGTTTCTCTCCACATCTTTTTCATCTCCTTCTTTTTTTTTAATAGGCTCGTCGATGGAGGGTACGCACGGCTACGCGATTAGGCGACCCTCCTGTACGCTTCGATAATCACGCACGAACGCGGCGGTCCTGCTTAATCTCGCGGGGATAAATAAGAGATCGTGCGCGGGAGAGGAACAGGTCGCGAACAGGGAGTTAAGCGACGTGCCCGGGGCCCTCTTCCTCGTCCTCCGGATCGAAACGAGCGTCACGTTTCCACGCTCCACGTCCCGAGAATTCGGACCATTACCAGCCAGAGGGCAGAGATATAGCACACGGACCGCCGAAAAGAACGCTGGATTTACGCCCCGGCAGATGGCCGTCCTTTTTTCCCCTTCCGTACGGCCTACCGCGAATAAAACTAAACGGAAACGTGCGTTTCCCTTGTTTTTACCATTGTCGTCGTTATGTAGGGCTATACATTGGGTTACCGCTCGCGGAAAGTGTGACAATAGACTAAGTGAGTCCTTGTTAACCATTGAAGAATTTGTACACGCTACAACTTGGAGGCGAAAATTATTTGGAAAATATTTTATTTTCTCTCAAAAGGAATGATTTTAAAAATGACATGAGATGGTAATATATAATCTTCTTTATTTAATTATTTACTAGTAAAACACTGTTAAATATTAAAGGAAATAAAATTTAAACCACACAATATCTTGAGTTGAATAACAGTTTGTTATTTTTAACTACCATGTGTGTCGAAATTTATTATTTTTACTTCATTGATTTAGTTAAATTAATAATATATTGAGTAAGAGCAGTGGGGTGACCTATAGGAATGATTAAAAATAACTCAAATTAAGTATAATTTAATACTACGAATTTACCAGTAAAAATTCAAGAAAAACTCTCTGGATTGAAATTACATAAGTTAAAATTAATATTTTCTGAGATTCAGAATATATTCTGAGAGTCAAATATTTTTTGAGATAGTTTTAATCATAATTTTAATGGGATTGCTATTAAGTTAACAATTCTCAATCAAGTGTTCTTTGTACGGTACGGCAGTCTTGTTTCATACGCGGAACACCTCATTAGTTCCGTGTAACACGAAAGGGTTTTGTAATTAGACGTAAAAGCGGAAAGTTTAACCCGGTACATGTAACTTACACCGCAGTGGGATACGGATAATAAGGCGCTGCAATTTTACTAGCGTTTCACACAATCCCCCTGAATCCGTGCGGAACATTTTGAGGAGCGCGAATTTACACGCGCGACGACGTGTAATGGGATACTTTTATTTAATAGGGATAAGAAGATTTTTCGTTGTTACATAAATCTGCGCTGTTATAACGGTTATAACACGTATGTATATGCGGTCGCCGATTCTCTCCGAGACTAACTTTTAAGCTCGCGCAAGCCGCAGTATACTTTTCTCAAAGGAGGAACGTAAAAAAGCAGAACTTCTATACTTCTGAAATCCCCGTTGCGTTATTGTCAACGAGCGAGTAGAATACATGGACTTACTTACCACTTCCTAGTCCAGAACTCGATATCCTTCCGCAGCGTGACTTGCGTTAAATATCTTCATGGAAGATTACTTCGGATTAAAATTTCGTAGAAGTGCTGTCCCCAATCAGTTTGGAAGCGGAATGTTTTCAGTATAAATCCGATTACGTCAAATGAAAATTCTTTACGTAATTTATAAATTTGTAACATTAAACATCTTGGCTGCTTAAAAAATTTAAACAAAAGCTGAACCTTAAAACAATTTTTTTTTTTTGAAAATAAAGTACTCTTAAAATTATCTAGAGGAACGTTCCACTAGTCATTATTTTTAAAGCTTGATTTATTAAATATTATTTAATTTTTAAAATAAAACTTTGTAATATAATATATATACCTTGGCCTAAATTTCTTCGAAAAGCGGCTCCGCTTCAACTTCGTCGAGAATTAACCTTCTGAAACTTTGTTCTTTACCAAATATTCTATTCAGATAATTATATTATAACGACGAGTTATGCCAATCATGTTCGTAAAACACCGATATTGAACTCTCTTTTTCCCATCTCTTTAGGGAGAAACGATTCTAGGTAATAATAACAATATTCTGAAAGAGTCTTTTTCGCGCGACATTCGACGCTTCTTTTTTTTTCTTTCTACTTTAACCCCCAACTTATAGCCACGACCATCTTTCTTCCCAACAGGACTGCCGGCTGTAATTTGTGGGGGACAAGAACTTCCCGGAGAGGCATTGAACAACTTTTATAATGTTTTTTGCGTGCCGTAAACCGATGTGATCTTAACTTTTTCCCATATTATCGCTTTTCTGAAGATTATATGGCTGCGCAAAAAAAGATAAAACAGGAATTATCTTTCTTGACGCGGTTTCGCGACATTACTGAGCAAACTCCAAACAACTAAAGATATTTTTTTAAGACAAATTTAAACAAGAAAGATAAAAAACATAAAAGCGAAAAAGTATATCGTAACGCTTCGCAATTTAGATAACCGTCTGTCTTTGCATACAATCTTGTTGAATAATTTTTATAAAGCCTGAGAATTGTGTCTTATCTTGATTTCTTTATAAATGCAGCGATTTCCTAAATGTTACGTCATTATATACAAATGCCAGAACATTTCTCAAATACTCTCGTTCACGACTTCATCGAAACAGGAAAGCGCCATCGGGAGAGCGACAAAAAGACCGCTACATCCTGTACGAAACGACAGGCTGGAAAAAAGAAGACGAAAATCGATTAGCCCTAAGCGCGGTCGCGCGACTTCGTCCTTCCTCCAATCTCCGAATCGAATCAAGCGCCGTGCTTGAACGAACTTACGGCGCGCACGGGCGATATAAAATAACGCCCGAAGGGGGAAAAATGATCCCGTACCGCAGCCATAGCCGCGACAGCTAATTGCATTCGTTAAAGGGGCCCGCGCAGACCGCGTTAGTGCTTTCTTCGCCGAGCGAGGGGCACTCGTCGCCCTCTTTGCTTCCTTTTTTTTCCCTTCATCCCCCAGACTATATGCACCGCGCGCCGCTCTCCGTCGGTCTTTTCCTCCGTCGTTCGGGCCACTCGTCGCAATTTGCGGGAGCCGGCGCAATGGCGAGAGAACTTCCTGAAGAGGTGTTGCGAAAGTTTCGGATCAAATGAATGAAAAACGGCGCGGAGAAAAAGGGGAGAAAGCGGAAGGAGAACAGTGGTGGATTATTGCACAAGGGCGTCGATTCGCGAGTCTTCTGACTTCTCTTGAAGTCTCAAAAACTCCCAAGTACTACGCGAATTTCTATTTCACGAAAATTGAATAAATATATAACGTCGCAAATATTAATAATATACGTAACATTATTGAAAAATGATATTTAACGTTTATCAGAGGATCTTTTTGGTCCTGTATTTTCCTCCAATATTCCGCGGAGAATCTCCAAGTATACCTTAATCCACCGCTGGGAGGGAAGAACGAGTCGAAGGGGAGAATCGCGAGGGGTTACACGAATATGGCACGTCGTGGCGGGCGTTTTCGTTGCGTTTTATTGATCCGATACAGTCGTAAATGGTACAATCGGCAAATTCATCGGCGGTACAATCGATATAGTTATATGTATATATACACTTATGTACATAACGCCGAAAGGCGCTTGGCTTGCTTGCTCGCATGCTCGCGTGCTCGCAGAAACGACGCCCGGCGGCAGAATAATGCTTCCGGGTTATCGTTACGTCGGAATATAACGGCGAGAACGAGCACGGAGTGTCCTATGACTCCTGACCGTCGAGAGATACAAAGTCGTAAAAAAGAACCAGCGGGGGATGGATTGGACGCGGATGCGAAAGGGAGAAAGGGAAGGAAACGACGGAGCGAGGGTGGCGAAACGGAGAAGATGGGGTGTCGATTGGGTCTCTATCGAAGGACTAGAAAAACGTATACTCGTTATTGTACACTAAAGCCGCGGCAGCATTATTTTTATACGCCTTATCTGTCTATACGCTTTAATTGGAGCTTAACGCCTACAACGCGATTACACTTATACGTGTGTCGATATGGATAATGGGTGGACGATCGAGCGCGATCCGTCGATCGCGCGTGCAGGACGGAGGAAATCCGTCCGGTCAGCGTGTGTCCCGGCGCGGACGCTTTCGATCCTCTTCCTTCGTCCCGTAGGATAATTATCCAGGTCTTACCGCGGTGCCGATCCTCCGTCTCTCATCGTCGTCGGTCGCGCGCCGCGTCAGCATTCGGCCGGAAGCCCGACGCGCTCGCGATTTCCGCACGGCCATTAACTGTTTCAGCAACCGAGCTGAATTAAATTGCGCTAACTCCTGTTTCGATCAATTTCACTCGGCGGATGGAAAAAACGCGTCTCATTGTATTTTCCGAGAAATAAGTCGTCGAACGTCAACTATTATACAGATTTTTTTAATGCATTTACCGCGAAAGAAGCGTGTCTCTCGAAACGATGTAATATTTTCCTCTCGTAAAAACCACCATCAAATTATTGCATTATAAAAAATGTAAAGATTCTCAAAAATTTTCCTTAATCTTACCCTCGTGGCGAGCGAGGTTCTGCTGTGCTCTTTAACAGGTCGTTGAAGGTGGACGCTTGCTGTATGACGGCAGATGCTGAAAGAGTTAATTACACGATCGACAGAAACTAGTACCGCCCGGTGGGACGTCCTTTACTGGCTATCCGGAGCATGCTGCGGGAAAAGCTACTTCGAGGTCCTTCCCGATGCCGTGTGTCCTTCTTCGCGCATCCCGACTCGACTCTACTTTCTCCAAAGAAGTTCTCAAGGACCGCTGCCCCGTCGAGGATATCGAGAAAGGTTGCCAGGTTCGAGCGAGACGCTATTTCTCGCTCGTGCGTCTCTACCTCTCTATCGAGTGATGAATTCCGTAAGAGAGAGACTCCTCTCTTATTCCTCCGTTCTCCCGACGCGATCTCTCGGACCGACCCGATTGATCGATTTCTACTCGAACACGGTCTTCGACAAAGTTTATCGGCGACGATACTTGGCTCTTTGCTAATGGACGTCTCCTCGCTTCCGAGGGCCAGTCAGTTCCATCTTCGGTTAAGTGTCCAGCAATTTCTCCCACGCCTCTCTTTCGGGATCGCAGCATCGGGCTGTAGCGTGGACAGGAAACTCAAGTTAATTGACGAAGGTCGGAGAGGCATCCGATCCTCAAAAGCGCGTTAAGTTTTCATCGAGATTGTTCTTCGAGAAAACGAATTTAGGAAACGCGTAGGAAAAAATATTTTCTTTTTCGTTTTTAATATAAAGTGCGGTATGAATAGAAAATGGGCTGATATTCAGCGGAGGGAGTTTTATCTTAGCCTTCGTGACCTCCTGTTTCCCTACGGGAGATATTATTCATGAATTGCGTATGTCGTGTGTGCGTGAGTTATGTCAGTCTCGTTAATTATTCGGGGGATAAAGTGACTTTTCACTCTACGAGAGTGATTTTACGCTACGCTCTGTACATTTCGAAAACGTACGCGCTATTCTATTGACATTATTGGTGGTTTCGTTCAACACGATTATCGATCGCGTGCGGACGAGATAGGAAAGTATAAATCCTAACTAGAGTCTGGATTCTAAGTTTCAGTTTCTCAAACAAGGCGGATTCAAAAGGGTCCGCGGTTAGGCGCCTCCCTCGGAAACCTTCTCGCCAAAGTTTCTGGACCTGTTGAATCGTTATTCCTCGTGGAACCCGCTTATATTCAGACAAACGGCGCGAGGCGAATTTTGCCCGGATCAACATCCCCAGGGATCATGTATTTCTCAATTATAAATAAATAGAAAAAAACATTTCTATTTAACATATCAAATTTAGAACATAAAATACGTGCTAACAATTGTGTGGAAAATACTCTCGCAAAAATATATTCGTCTAAAATAAATAGCAAAATATTCAGAAAAAAAAATATTGCGTCTCTGAATCCCTGAAGAGATCAAACCGCTCTCGTTTCGCCGCACAATATTGCGGAAGGACCAAAGTGTCCTCGTTAACATTATGACATCTCGGAGCGATTTCGGACGCTTTTATATATATTATTTCATAACGCTTTGTACCAAGCAGAATAATATAGAATAACGGATTACGATCTCAATCGCTCTAAACATATTCAAAAAGTCTACCGATCAGTTAACGTCGACCGGGCTCTCCTCGACAATCTTCTCCAGCAGCTGGCCCGACTCAAAGTCCCTGCACCTGTCCGTGGCGCACATTATTATCGGGCCTAAAGGCGAGCCGATCTCCTGCGGCAGACCTTTCTTGAGAACGTTGAGGTACCCCTAGCTCTGAACCATATCGCTAACGTACTCCTCGTGAAGCGCGAGGAGATGACGCGGCACGTCGAGTGCGGTGTGAAGCGTCACGGTTACGCCGCGATTCAGACTGATCGCCGGATAAAAGACGCCGTAGAGATCGCGGAAAGCGATGCCGCCCTGCGGCTGATCGTTGACGAAGAAGCGTAGCGTGTGCGTGGTGTCCAGGTCGAGGAGGACGCCGACGGTCGAGCCTTGCTGGACTCCGCCCTCCGTGCGTTGTGCGTGACCACCGCCGTGCATGAACCACGACCGCTGCCGGTCTATATACATGCTCCAGCCTTTGTCGTCCTTGCCTGTGAGCAAAATCGCGATGATTGGTGAATTGCCTTCAGAGTGAATAGTCTAACTGGATTTCATTACAGACTGTATGTCATATATAAACGATGATATGACAGCAAACTTGTTAGATATGTTGAGAACGTCAGAAGTTATTTGCGTAATTTAGGAATATTTAAAATCTCATTAATAATAACAACAGTAATAGCGGAGATGATGTTTTTTGATATTTAATGTAATTTTTTACTCGTTTATTATAAAATAATGAGACAGATGAAACGAATAGTTATCATTAAGGGCATTAGTTGACGCGGAAAATATTCCAAAATGTTCTAAAACAATTGTAAGAAGAAAATAGAACCGTGACACGATTACAGACTAATCCCAATTAATAATAAATTCCCGTTGTGTTTATTAAGCAGCACGCGATATCGATTTTCGGATTTTATCAGTTCTAAGAGCATTGACCCGGTTTCCACGTGTCCAAGGGTTAAAGTACCCTCCTCTTCCAGGATGTTGCACAACCGCGGTCGCGCACTTTGCGATCTCGGCCGAATCTCTTAGCCGTCGTTTTCTCTCATCCGGAGCGATGTATAGAGACAAAAACAGACGAAAAAAAAAAGAAAGACAGAAAGCGGAGAGAAGGAGGGAGGAAGAAAGAGAGAAATACGTGGAAAATACGGTATACATACGTCTCTCGCCTCCGAATTTCCGAACAAACCGGGGGATCTTCGGGGTGTACCGGGTGGCGCATGAATATTTCATCGGGGCCGGATAAACCGCACGATATTTTCCGCAGAGGGGAGGAACAAGAGAAGAGGAGTGGAGAGGCCAAGAGGCCTGGAGGTACTTACCCAGCATCTGATCGCGCGACACATCCGCCCGGGCGATACCGAAGGCCGGATCGGTGTCACTGTGGTATCGATCTAGGGTCAGCTCCCAGTAGTGCACGCCCCGCGAGAAGCCGACGCTCGAGAGGACCACGCGGTGCTCGTAGCCCTCGCAGGACGCGCTCATCGCGTCCTCGGATATGGAAACTTCCTGCGGTATGCCGGCCGCGCCGGTCGCCCACGAGAACCACGCCACTGCGGGACCAGAGAGAGGACCACCGTTTCGTTGTACAGAGCATCGATTAATATTCCGCGGACTCGAATCCGCAAGCACGCTTAACGAACTACACGTTTCAGGGTATCGGGCGTCGGGGTTATCGAGTGCCTGGGTTATTGGGAATTCGACGTCGTCGCGCCGCATCGCGCTCTCGATGTTAATAACGACGTGACAGGATTGTGGAATCTTAATATGAGGAAAAGGAGAATGAGGGGGATCTGATTTTCTGTGCGGCTAAATAATTTAAGAATTTGATATGGAAAAGTCGACGTGACGCGACTGCGGGAACTGTGTATATATGCAAAAAGGAAGGGATGTTTTATCTTTCGCGGTGTGTTAAATAATTTAAAACTTTGATATGGAATTTCCTAACGTCGCGCGATTGTTGAAGTTTAATACCGAACTACCGCCCGACGAATATTACGTTACGGCCCGGGAATACGAAAGGGAAAGAATTCTTTTTTCTCTGAATCTTTTACGTATTAATATTACATTTAGAAAAATCCGAAGAGATATAAATAAGAGATTAAAATTCAGCATAAAAAAAACTGATCCAGCGGAATATACAGGCGACGAGGATTTTAGATTAGATTACAAGTAATTCAATCTGTCGAATCTATTAGTCGATTTCGAGAAATGAAGATGGAACATTTAACTCTCCGCGGTGCTGTGAATAATTTAAGCACTTCCGTGGTAGAATTGGTGTATATGGTAATAATAAAACGAAATTTTAGGCGGATCTATTTCCTCTCGGAACTAGCGCAGAGGTAAAAATGTCTCCTCGGAGTCATTTGTAATTGTCGCCCGCATTATTCCGCAAACGTCACGCGGATGGGCATTCTATCGCGGCTATTTCTGGGTGCGTCCACCGTCCATCTCATCGATCACGCGATCGTGCCGTGAAAAAAAAAAAAGAAAATACGCGCGGCTGGAAAATCGACGTCGGTTACGATCGTTCGTCTTCCACGCGACACCGACGCCGCGACGCCGATTTTCCAGCCGAGGCCTCCGCGCGCGCGCCTTGCTCAGGAAACCGTGAAGAAAAAAAGAAGAAAAGCTCTCTCACCCTCGGCGGTCTGAAGGCCGATCAGCTCCGAGTACTCGCCCTCGCCAGCGCTGTTAAAGGCCCGCACCCTGGCGTTGTAGAGCGAGTTGAAGTGCAGCCCGTCTACCGTGCAAATGGTCTCGCGGCCACAGTACACCTCCTGCGAATCAGATTTCAAACGGAACATTCGTGAATTTGCGGGTTGCAGCCGGATAACCTATCCTATTAATCGGGGGAGAAAATAATTTGAGCGGAAATAAGAATTACATTAAAAAAGAATATTTACTCTTTGGAAACGCAGGAAATATTCGATAGCGTAAAATTCTATAAAGATATGTTATGTTACTACTTCTATACCACACAATAATTATAATAGAAATCTTTCTAATGAATATAGCTATGTAAAATACGCAACATATAATTTACAAAATTACTATTTTACGGAATAAAATGATAACAAATTAGAAATCCTTAAAAATATAGGAACAATTAAATCAATTTATGTAGGAAAATCGAATATTTTAACTTCCACATATTGAGTAATTACTATATTGACAAATGTATGACAAATTGAAATGTCTAACTCGGCACGAAAATTCTCGTTCACTGTGACGAGCGAGTATTGACGTTGCTCGTCTCAGTGGTGGATAAACGAAAATTGTGGATAAAGAGCGGAGTTTACCTGTCATGTCGACTTTCCTGAAAGAACCATCAAGATAGCATCGATTGGTCGACCGACAGATAAGCAAGCACGAAACACGTTATTAGATTTAACACCGAAATAAAAGTCTCGTAAAACCGACGAGAGAGAAACATTATTTATGATACAAATAACTTTCCTTCGAGAGTTACTTTTCCTTTTTAATATATCATTTTCGATACAATTTTTATTGTTTATTATGCAGGTGTCTTGATAAAAAAATGCGATTATCAACTAACTTTAAATATAAAAACCTATATAATAGAAAAATAATATAATAATAAAAAAATGTTTGCTAGAATTTATAAAGTTTCTTTAATTTCTGTATGAATCAGAAATTAAATTTTTGCATATCTTACATTTTCTCTAAATAAAAATCACACAGAACAAGGGGAATGAATTCCGTGAATTTTCCGACAAATCAGATCCTTATTCGTCAAAGGAGCTTTTGCGATTCCTGCTGCGAGAGCTCGATGAGTGACAGCGCAGGAACGGAAACCAGAGACCGGGAAACCCGAGGCATCGTGTGCCGCGCGAACGAGCTCGATTTAAATATTAAAAGGAGGAGGATGGACCGGCGCTATCCCGATGGCCGCCGAGAGGAACTGGCGATAGGTCGGACGAGGGGCGGCAGAAAGGACGAGGAGAGCGTCGGCAACGAGGACGATTTATATTCGCGGTATCGCTCCGTTCGTTAACGAGCGCCATATCGCAACGCCGCCGGTGCATTATTAACAAAGCATGAAAATTTAGACGCGCGATTTACAAGGCCGACCCGAAGCACGTTTGTGCGAACGGAAATTCATACGCGCCGTGGCGATATACCTGGGTTATTCTCGTTGATTTTACCGCGGATTTAGTATTATATATTCTTCCGTGCAAGCCATTTGAAGAGTGAAATCTTCATGAAAGACCAGAAAGATTGAGATACAACACTGTTAAATATTAAAGGAAATTAAATTTAAACCACACAATACCTTGAGTTAAATAATATTTTGTTATTTTTAATTACCATGTGTGTCAAAATTTATTATTTTAACGCAAAACAGTATTATTTTAACTCCATGTGTTTAGTTAAATCTTCATGAAAGAAGGATTGATACAACACTGTTAAATATTAAAGGAAATTAAATTTGAACCACACAATACCTTGAGTTAAATAATATTTTGTTATTTTTAATTATCATGTGTGTCGAAATGTATTATTTTAACACAAAACAGTATTATTTTAACTCCGTGTTTTTAGTTAAATTAACTATTAAGTAAGAGCAGTGACGACCTATAAGAATTGTTAAAAATGATTCAAATTGAGTGTCACTTTGACACTATGAATTTAATAGTGAATCTCGTGATAAAACTACTTTAATAATGCATTGTAAATACAAAATTATCATAAATATAAAATCGATTAAATCAATCAGAATTTAAATTGAATTGAATACATTTATATGCGGCAATGAACGGAGTCTTTCTCCTTACACATATTTAATTTTTCTAACTTAAATGAGCTTTAATTTATGTCGCGTGGCACACAAATATTTGAAAGAATTAAATCCAATAATATTAAAATAATTCCGTGTAAAAATGCTAAGCTTTATAATATTATTCTCTCTTTCACTTCGTGCAATTTTATTTCCGCTTACGTTGGCAAAAGACAAAACCCTATAATACTCTACGACCGCCGTTAAATTGCCTCACATTAATATCGTGGATTATGTGGCAAACGACGGTTCGAACTGCCGTCATTTGATAAAAACTTCTAATGAACGGGACGATATCGCTGGGAGCAATTAATAATTGCCATCGCCCCAAGAGGATCGCTCATTTCTCACTGTAAGCCCGGAATCTTGGAGAGTTATAGACTTCAATTAACGCTCTCAATACCGAATACCGAATCTTCATTTACCAGAGAAAAAAGTTTAGTTCACAAACCGTTTCTTAATTCACGTATGACATACTGGCTTAAAAAAAAAAAGTTAGATTCAAACTCTTATAAACCACGTACAATTTTCTTATCAGACAATCGGAGATATTATCGCCCATTTAGGACGCCGCCAAATGAATTAATGTAGGCGCCATTAAACTGCCTTTATTCGGCGCGCTAATCTCCAAATTTTTCAAACTCGCGCCCACGAATTCGCGCTCCACGAGGCTGCCTTTTAATACCGTCTTTTATGACACGGCTCACGCGCGCTACTTAGGCTGAATTATTAGCGGTAATCGCGTTTCAGGGTGCCCGCTGCCACCCGCGTTTACGATCAATAAAACGCGAAAGACGGCGTTTCGAGTCCGACCGGAGTGGAGACCGGTCCGAGAATAAATGCGACGAACGACCTCGCTGATCCGGAAACGCGCTCCGAATGGATACGTGGCCGACCCTTCACGAAGACCATGGTATTCCGCGCGCGAGCGATTCGTTCCGGTACAACGTACCGTAACAAAAATCTGTACGGAAAAAAAAATAAACTTTACGGACGATCGGCATTAATATTCATTTCGCGGCGCGGAGGGACAAATTCTCAACAAAGAGGGCTTTTATGATCCTGACGTTTTTTCTGATCCCCTTCGCGCTTCGATGTCATGTCGGCCGATATGGCCGGTATTATCCTTCGATAAATTGAAAGGCGGATTTTTATACGTCTCACCCCCCGTAAAGTTTTATTAAACGCTCGTATCCGGGAATCACTCCTCATATAAGATTCATTTTGAGGTCCATTGCGTGTAATATACATATATTATTGTATGGGACGAAAATTGTAGCAAATGAAACGTGAAGCAAAGCTGAACGACGACGATAAAATTATATATGGTCATTTTTGTGTGCATATCATAGCCCAGAAATAATAACGAACAAATGTTTGACATGATAATATTAGAAAGTTTAAAAAAAATTGTATTTAAATCTCTCTTGGTTAATAAAATAATAGCTATTAAATTTGGAAGATCAAGAGAGTATTTTCGGTTTTTAGAGGAGATTCTGGCAACCAATTTTGCACATGTGCAAGTAATGTGTGCAATGGAACTAAAAATTTAAAAATTAGCCGACAAGAAAGCTACTGTAGAATTTTAACGAATGCATTTCACAGACAAACTTACATCTCTTTTCCCTCGGGTTACACCGTCACGTTTAGTTCAACATACACAACGATTCTTTTAGAGTTTCCTGCCACGTTCGTGCAACTCGTCCTTCTTTTTATACTATTTTTACGCTACGAGTAACTTCCTTTTATCTGAGCGAGAAAATCTCGTCTTAACTTTTCGAGATATAGAACCTGATGGACAGTCTCCCACGTCCAATAAAATTAGTATCACTTTTCAATAATATTTTATTAAAACTGTTGAATTAAATCATGTTAATTTTCATATATAACAATCGGTAAATATTTTTTCCAAGTTTTGTAACTTCTCTTTGTAATTCGGTTCCTTTTAAAAGCAGAATAAATTCTTATCCGTTTAAACAATCACAAATCCGTTTCTCCATTCTGCTTTCAAAAGAAATCGTGTCCGGAAGAGAAGTTACGGGACACTTGGGAAAAAATATTTACCACGAGAAAATTGACGCGTTGCTTTTCAAGATTTCCGTGGGAGAAATAACAGACGTCAAATATTATTTAATGCCAGCGGGTCTCTCTCTCTCTCTCGGTATCATCTCGTCCGCGTCGGATCGGAGAACAATTCCACGGAAGACATCGTGAGAACGTCGAAGTGTCCCCCATTGTTGGGGTAAAGTCGTATCGCCGTCGTCGCGGGATGATACGGCCGAAGGAGAGAAGACGCGACGAAGAAACACCGGAACCGGACGTCGCGTCGGCAAAGAAACGAGAACGATGGAGGGTCCGACGAGTGAAGTGTCATCGAAAAATTCGCGGGCGATCTCGAGAAAGCCTCCGAGAGATCCGAGCTTAGCGTATACGATAGCGTAGTCTTCTCTCTCGCCGACACATATACGAGGGGAGTACAATTTTCTTCGGGATATACGGAGATGTTTACTCACCCTGAACTCTCCGCCGCAGCCGTCGTCCAGCTCCAAGAGATATCCCTCGATGGCGGGGCCCCTCTGTCCGGCGCAGCCCATAATTCCGTGGCCAGGTGGCGGCTGCCAGGCAACGGTGACGCTGTTGTTCTCGGCGCTACACTCTTCGGGGATCAGTAAAGGCGCTCCGGGTGCTGGAAATGCGTACGTCGAGACGGTTTAACAGCGCTCCGCGTTATTGTAATTGTCAGCGTTGCATGGAAACGCGGGAGTAAAGTAATGTTTATAGATATGATATCTTTTGAGGGCGCACGAGCCTCCCCGATCCCTTGGGGAGTTTGGAATTAATTCTAACAACGATAATTTGCAGTAATCGCGATAATTCGAGATATTAATTGTTGTATTGAATATATGAAGATAAATAAAATTTGAGATTTTTCTTTGATTAATTTGAAAACTCTTCTAATGCGGTAACGTAAAGAACACTTCGCTCGTGTGACGGAAAAGTAGACACAGTTACTTTGAAGTTGTCTCGTAAAAATAAAATTATAAGCAGACTATAAATTAGTTGTACTTGCTTAAGGACGGAAGCTTCCAATACTGAAATTTTCTACTTCGGTAAAACTTTGTACACACTTAAGAAGTTCCTCGGGTAAGTAACTAAACATTTCGTATTTTCGTAACGAAAGGATTGAGGTAAAGGCATTTAACTTCGGAGATTTCCAGCCAACAAAGTTTGCTTGTAAATCATTTTACAAGTGAATAAGCTTATATAAATAAGTGGAAAGTTGTCATGCAAATAGATTAAAATAAAATGAATGGGAAAAAGAAAAATCTCCGATAAAATTATGACGAGTGTGCGTATATGTATAGGTATGTAATAACACATATTTGTATATGTAATAAATTGATATAAAATCGTGAATTAAAAACATCGTGAAGAAAGTAAAGTAAATTCACACACATTGACGATTTCATTTGACAGAGTTTTAATTACCGCCAGTTAACTTCGATATAATATGAATTGAAAACGCGCTGGGTATTTAGCTCCAATCCGATTTGCCTGGAAGTCGGTTTGCCGATGATGACCTTCGGCAGCAATAATTTCACGATTTAAACAGGCTTCGGACTGCCGAATTTGCCGCGAGTTTCCTAACGACGGACGGAACTTGGTCGTTGCCGCGCGACCGCACGATTCTATTCGACTCTGACTGCAATGTCTAGGGTACAAAGTTGAAGCCGCGGAAATTACAGCGGCGCTATCCAGATTTCTGTCCCGCAGAAATGTATTGAGCTGCCGATGCAGAGCGCCATATCTCAATTTGTCAAATCAATCGGAACATAACGTATAAATTCCTCGACAGAACGCTGAAATCGAAATGATCCTTCGTATTGGAACCTAGCAAAATTAGTAGCCAATATTAATTTCTCTTGAAGTTGCAATATTACAGTATAAAATAAATATTTTAAATGTCCACCAAGTTTTGTTTCAAGTAAAGTACTGCAGTAAAAGATCCTAATACGCCATATACATATCGCACTCCGAGAAGAATACTGCAGTCACAAATTCACAATTTTCAGAAGAGAGAAAAAACTAATTTAACATAATTTTTTTAAAGTGTAAGATAACTAACGCAATTACAATTACGATATTCTGTTACAATAAAACTTATACTGTTTAAATGAATAACGATACTTCTACCCTGTATAGCGGATTTGCGCATATGTATAATAGACTTGTGAGGCTATTGCAACACGTACACGGAGAGAATTTTCTCTTAAAATTTACCCTGAAATCATGGTAGTTAGGACATGTACCACCAAGAATTTTATGCGAGCTATTCTGATTAATATCTACCATAAAAAAAAGATCTTAATATCTATTACATTAAAATATAAAATATGTTTGATTAATTTTACTAAAATATATCTATAAAATTTCAATAATTTTTCAAAATTTACCCAATCTAACTTGCCATGGTAATTTTTATCACGTTGTTTGTAAAATGTCTTTTGTATATTTTAAAAATTCCTTGGTTGCCAAGTTGTCCCAAGTTTGAAGTAAATTTAACGGTGAAATGTAACAAAAAATTCTCTCCGTGTAGGTAACATTTTACTTTTTATGGATTTAACTCAAAACCGAAATTTTTTAAATCGCGACAGTATTCTTCTTGAGGCGTGAAGCATTTCTTCTCGCGGGAGATTACATTAATTCATTTGATAAATCTAGAATGCTCTCCGCGTTGCTTTCGCCGTAAAAGAGCGATCGTTCGGGGCGATACTAATCACGTTGGACCGGGCGTTCATTAACGGACCGCGCAAATGTTAGAGATAGTCCGCTTTCAAGAGCGTTACCGCTGTAGGCGATCGTTGATGCTTCTACATGCAATTATCTGGCTTTCAGTGGAAGCTCGCTGCTGCCGACCCCGTCGCGTCGCGGACGCGGGTCGTCGGCTCGTCGGTAAACTTGTTGGCATGCTAATAAACCAAAAGCATTTCCTCTCGGTGCCCGTTGCCCGCTGGCGGCATGCGGTTTCGCGCAAACTTATCTCTCGAAAACGTGCTCGCACGACACGGTGCCCGTCGACTTCCCGTCCGTTTCGGTCGTCGATTCGGGATGCGCCGGCAGCATAACCCGATCGGACGGTCGCCGCCCGCGACCGGGGAGTAAACACGCGCCAAAAAGGCGAAAGACGGGAAAGGCCGAGATTTGGCAAACACGTCGCGATGTGCAGTCGGATAAAAAGAGACGTGCGTCCCGAAAGTTACCCGCGATGGCCTTTTTGCCACGTGCGTTGGTGGATACTGTTGAGTCACAAAAACCGCGATCGAGCTTTTTGACAAAATTGTGTTGTACGGGGCATCGCCGTCTCTACCGCATTTACTCTTTTTAGTGACAATTTCTTCCGCCAATTCGAGATCAATTTTTACTTTTTACTTTTGCGATATAGCCCACGATGGAAATTATATAACTGCTCAATTTTGATTATAAATCAGATAAAATCTGCTTTCTGTAATGAATAAAAAGATAGACGAGTCAATGATCGATAGCGATTGAAATCGTTGATAAAAAGTGCATGTATTTTTTTTCGCAGAACGAAAAGCGGAATTTCAATGGCGTCCCACGCATTCATGTAGATGAAAAAGTATTCTCTTCCATAATTTTCTGGAATAAAAAAGCCGTGGAAGCTGTGCGATTCCGCGCAAAACTAATCATCTTTCCGATTTCGGGCGAAATTGACTCGTGAATTCAATGATGTACGAAACTTAATACGTTTTTTCAACACATATGACGTAGGAAAAATCGTATTTTTCCGTACAAAAGATAATATCTTTTGTACATTGCAGGGAAATATTATTTCACGCGTGGGATTAAAAAAATGCAATTTTTGTGTGGAACTATGGGAATTTGAACAAACGTACTGCGATACATAAAAAGAAATAAAAAAATGACCAATATATAGTGCAATAAGACAGATTCAATTTTATTTCAAAATATTGAATGTTCCGTTGTATCGCGACGCGAAAAGTCTTTAATAGTAAAAGGATTCTCGGTAAACAAATTATATTGTAAAATTATATTGCTTAAAATTCAGATTTGAGAAATCACTTGTAGTCGACGGAAGTGAGTTTCGAGAGGTTGTAGTCTAAAGTTTATAGATTAACTCTATTTCATATATATATGTACAGACGCAGAATACTAGGAATAATGTTTCGCCTACTTGCAACGTCAAGGAAGACTTAACACGTGTATGCATAATTAACTGGCTTCGTGCTTAATAGCGAATCGTCACGGAGAGTTCAGCTGAGTATCCTTGGAGAGAGCCGTTTCGCTCTATGGCACGAGTGCTCTAAGGTCCCTGCGGCATTCGCATTATGAAATTAGGCTAATGGCACCGACGTTACATAACTATGTTCGGCGTCACACCGCCAGAGCTTTAATCCAAATTAAGATCGTCTTGAGAAACATTTATCATTTCATATTTCATTTCCAGTTAAATGGCAAACAAAAAAGAAACATTACTTTCCATTTGAACACGTCGAATGAGCGGGAAGTTATAAATAACGACGTTCGTTTAAATACCGCGGGGTGATTCGAAAGTTTAATGGAACTAATAACTTTGGTAGTATAAAAATACAAAAAAAAATGAAATAAGAAAAACATAACAAGGAGATTATTTTATCTGAAGTCATGGAGTAAGAGTTCGAGATTTAATTCTCGGGACGATATATGTTAAGTGGGAGATCGCATAATTCGCGTGACATGCGACGTGACGAAAAATCGAAGAGAGAAAAGTCGTTTATGTCAAATAGGAAAAATAACGACGTGGCGTAGAATAAACTCACTTCGCTGTTTCACCCGCTTATCGCGATCCAAAAACTCGTGTAATCCGACATGGAACCTCGATGAAGCCGTTCGCACGGTAAATTCCATTGCACCACGCTCCGTCGCTCTATGTCGTCGACATTTACTATCGATTATCCCGGATTTCGTCGGATTTTACAACGGCGCTATCAACGTGCGAGTCCGTAATCTCTATAGGTATCGTATAGCCAGCCTGGACAGTTATTTATTATTACTTCTTTCGATATCGTCTCCAACATATAGGTATATATTTTCTAATACGCTTCCTAACGGAGCAGTAAATATTACCTAAAATGATTATTATCAACGTTTAATTAAATTTGGACGAATTAACAAACTCGGTACACCGATACTGAGATCCGTAACGTTTTACGATCCGACCCAATAACGACAAGAATCCGGACGAAGCGCGAAGTGTAACGGTTACACCGCGGCGCGGCGCGCGGCGTCAATTAAAGCCGGCTAAAAGAGTCGTGAAGGAAACACAGCGAGCGAAATATCGATCATCCGCCTTTTACGAGGGTGCGCTCGTAAAAGCGGGAATTAATGGGCAGGACAGGTGCACGCGAGTGACTCGAAGATCTCCGCTTTCGAAGGAGCGGCGCTCTCTTCGACAGAGACGCGTGGAAACAACGTACGCGGATAAAAAAAACTGTTACGGCCGCCCTCTTTTTACAGCTTTACAATGGGGTCCGACGTGAATCGACACACCGGCGAAACTTTATGCCCATATCGGAATGATTTATCGAACAGCGCGAGACGCGCCGCGCCACACCGCGCCGATATCCGATACATACAGAGTCTCTCTCTCTCCCTTTCTCTCTCGTT